ATATATATATATATATATGTATATATATGTATATATATATATGTATATATATGTATATATATATATATATATATATATATATATATATACATATATATACACACACACACACACACACACACACCACCACACACACACACACACACACACACACACACATATATATATATATATATATACATATATATATATGTATATATATGTATAATATATATATTACATATTGTATATATATATATATATAATATATAATATATATTATATATATATAATATATATATATATAAACAAATACTCAAACACACACACACACAAGGACACATACAAACATATATATATATATATATATATATATATATATATATATATATATATATATATATATATATATATATATATATATGCATACATATAAACATAAATATAAACAAGCACACACATAATTTCACATAAACACAAAAAGAAACACACCCACACACACATACATACAAAAAAACACAAACATATACACAGAAGCATACACAGAGACACACATACGCGCACACAAACACAACACACATATACACACACAGAAATACGTAAAGAAATATACAAATACTTACACGTACACATATACACACACAAACACGACACAAAAAACAGCATACACACACACACATAAATATAAGTATATATAAATAAATAGATAAATATATATATATATATATATATATATATATATATATATATATATATTATGAAGACACACATATACATATACAAACAACAAATAAATAAATGTATATATGAATACACACACACACATGCATAAACACAGACACACAAACACACCACACAACACATATATAAGTACACACATTAAGATTATATATATATATATATATATATATATATATATATATATATATATATATTATATATATATACATACAAACTCATACATATTCATACATACATGCGGGGGGCGCATAGCCGCGTCCACCTTTTGGGATCCCTGTGGGTCGTCCCACAGGCCTCCTCCGCCCAGAGACAACCTGATGAGCAGGATCAGTCTGGGGGAAGCGAGCAAGGTGGGCCATATAGTCTGAGTTGGCGATCCCGGATTGTGCAGGTAACAGGTCCTGTGCCAGTCTCACGGTGCAACCGTTGGTTGACACATGGTCCCGCCAACAGTACCCCATGATCCGGGCAAGGACCTATTACAAAAGGCTCAAGACGAGCTCCAGGCACTGGATAATGTCCAGGTTTCACTACCATAGAGCAAAACTGGCATTATCAGGGCCTTGAAAACCCGTAGCTTGGTCCTTCTGCACAGGTACCGGCATCTCCAAATACTCTTGTTGAGAGAGTTCATGACCCCTGCTGCCAGGCCAATCCGTCTGCTGACTTCCTGGTCTGACAGCCCAGAGTTATGAACTGCACTACCAAGGTATGTAAAGCTCTCTGTGACTTCAATGTCCTCGCCGCAAGCACGTACCGACTGAACAGGTTCTCCTAACAAGTCCCCAAAGTCCTGGATCTTGGTCTTGGTCCAGGAGACCTCTAGACCCAAGGGCTTCGCTTCATTACTAAATGCATCGAGAGCCACCACTAGGGTTTCCAAAGACTCAGATAGAATGCAACATCATCGCAAAGTCAAGGTCTGTAACCTTAATATTGCCCAGTTGCCACAATGACTTTGAACAGTAGCTCTGCCCAGTATCCAGTCCATGCAAGTGTTGAAAAGGTTGGTGCAAGAACACAGCCTTGCCTCACTCCTGAACTACAGGAAAGAAGCTCGACAGGCCCCCACCACACTTTACAGCACTTTCAGTACCAGTATACAGGCTTGCTATATTCAATAATCCTTGTTGGAATTCCTCTCAGTCTCAGGATCTCCCAGAGTGATCCCGATGCACCGTATCGAACGCCTTCTTGAGGTCGATGTAGGCTGCAAGCAGCCCACGTCCGAACTCACGACGGCGCTCTACAATGACTCGAAGCACAAGGATATGGTCTATTGTGGACTTACCAGGAGTGAATCCAGATTGCTCCGGCCTCTGATGCCTCAGTAGATGGTCTCTGATACGTCTCAGAAGGATGTGGGCAAGAACCTTGCCTGGTACATGAGCAGTGTGATGCTCGGTGATTGCTGC